ATATATATATATATATATATATATATATATATATATATATATATATATAATCGGTTTGCGAATAAGCATGATGCCAACGGAACAAAAGTAGTAACGGAAAACAGAGAAAATGGGATACAAAACAGAGAGAAATAAAGGTAAAGCAGTTATAGTGGATAACAGCGTTTCGTTCGTTTCACCGTTCACTGTTCGATATCTTTTGATGTCAGTATCGCATCAATAAATGAAGGCAATAAAAGGACTGGGGAATATCAAGGAAACAGTAAGAATGAAGGTTAAAACATCGAAGTCGACTAGATCATGGTTTTATTTACCGAGCAGATCCGTCACAATACAGGATGAACTGATAGATACTGTTCATACGAGATGTAGACAGTCACGAATTCAGAGTCGAACGGTAAAATTTTCGTGTTCTGCAAATATGCCGTTCGCATTCTTCTTTTTGGATTTTTCAAAAATGATTGTTGATGAACATAGGCATCCAGTTCACGATGTATTAATTACTAAAAACATTATCATGAAATTATACTGTTCCTTTTTCTGAACCTTGAATATAAAGTTCGTTAGAGTAGCCTTGTTGATGTTCGGAATGAATTGGGTAAAATGCGTGTACATGTGTTTTATTTTCCGTCCATTTTGATTAATGGTAAAAGTAATGTGCTCCTGATTTCTCTTATTAAATAGAGACGGGTACATTCAACCATCAGGAGAATGTGGCGACCAGCCGAAACAATTCCATGAGATGAAACGCAGTAGTTAATTGAAATTAGAGCTCCGGTGGCAACAATAAAACAATACACCGCCAAGGTAGTGTGATAGTGATTTACATAGCTCCTCAGTTAATTAGGTAATATCATCACTGAAAGGATTGTAAAATTGTTCTAAACAATGGAACTAAAGGACTTGGTTCACCTCGTTAAACAATCTTCCATTTGTGACTGATGCGTACAGAAATGCTACGCAAGTACAAGCCAGTGAACTGAACAAACGGACATTAGTTGTAGAACAAAAATACAATATCAATTAGAGGATCACGATGTCTCCGTTATCGAGTGTGTTTATGTCAATGCAATTGCAACTTAACAAATATGTACACCGGAATTTCGCACCCTACCGAGTAGCTGAAGAATTCAAAAGTAAACATTTTGCGCATCTCTATACTAAAATACATACTATCGTGGTTGAACGAGAACCACTCTTTCCTATAAGTTTCGCATGGAAACAAAGAAATCGATTTGCATTGAAAAGCTGTTCATCATCATAATTATCACCAGCATCACCAGGTGTATTTCGTTTGAACCTCCAAAGAAATTCAAGCATTATATTTTATCAGTGACTTCCATTTTTACTGAACTTTTTTCCTCTCATTTCCTCTCAGTGTATTCAAAGTGATCCGTGTCGACCAGGACGTCAAGTAAGACAAGTATCCTGTATATCTGTCCAAGTGAATGGAACACATCGTCAGCTCCCCAAAGCGGCATGCTACCTATCCGGTCGGCCTCAGGCACGTACATGGAGACGTTGTTTCGTAGAAGGTACAAGCAGTTGCGAAAGTCAAGAGCCCACAATCGACACTGATGCCATGACTATTGTCCAAATGAGAAAGGTACATATCACACGTTTTTAACGGAATACAATTTTAAATTCTCTGTGAAATTTCTTTCCGTTGTGATCTAACAAAACTTTCACAGCATATGCATTTTGTTTATTGCTTGGTCACGTGCAGACGAAGAACTAACAACTAATAACATTTGATTATTAAATGGATATTGCATTCTCTTATCTGTTTAGGATACCAACTATATTTTAATCATTTCATCTTTTCCTCGAAATTTAACGGATCTATATTCCAATACATAATATGATAAATACGCTTTTGTAACTAACATTTGATATTTTTACAAAAATAACAGAATTTTGACATTTTCCGACTTCTGTCAGCTGGAAGATTTGTAGCATGCAGTTAAAGGACATTTAGCTGTAGTAACAGGAATGCTTAGCGCTACGATCAAAATACGACGTTTTTATAAATTATTGGAATCACAAACCACCTCAAACTCTGCGGTGTACATACTTTCTTTCTCCCTCTGGGCTGTACATCAGAATTTTGTTACTCCGTATTTATTTTTAGGCGAAAATATTAAATCTGCAGGTTGGACAACAGGCCTACGTGATACCATTTACTCGGATAAATGTCCGATGCCCGGTTCACTACTTCTCCGTTCATGATCTGGTTTGGAAGCATGCGAACCATGGGGAGGTTCGTTACACTGGTGTATCAAATGAACGTGTCCAAGTGGATAAACGAGGCCGGTTGCGTATACGCAGTTTTCGTAATGTAGATGCCGGCGAGTGGACATGCATTGCAGGTCAGAAGAATGCCACCGTGTTCTTTACCCCGAGGACTCCGGCAGCTGGTTTCCATGACTGGGTTCAACGAAATCGTCTATGGACTAAGGGTATGATGAGTGACGATCCGAAGGATATGGCTGGTGTACATGCAATTGTTCAATGGGTTGAAGGTCCATGGAGTGCCTGTTCGGTGAGCTGTGGAGATACGGGACAGCAGTTTCGAGTGGTTCGTTGTGAACGTGTAGATACTCGGTTTTACCAAATTCTAGATGATCAAGCTTGTTTGGACAAACTATTGCCAAAACCGCTCAGTAGAAGAAAATGTCTGAAGAGCAAGCGTTGTCCTGGTTGGTTTGTCGAAGGCGCTGATCCCAGTGTAGTAAGTTTACGTAAATTGTTTTCTGTCACAATGATGCTCCATGGAAACGTTTGGGGTACAGTGCAATGGAGACTGGTGTCATATTACACACCCTACAGCCATATTATCCACAATAGCACNAATAGCACCTACGAGAAGTTAATTCACTTATTTCATTATTGAGCAGCATTCACTTTCAAGGCAGTATTTGGACGTTAAGTCTTGTATTTACATCACATCACCTTCTGAGCGTGCTAGTCAGACCTACATGTCAGTATCCCATATCACGTGACCGATGACATTTCGTCCTTCATAAATTAAATTATTTTATTGGTTGATCACGTAACTAATTGGACGATCGATGCGCCATGTATACTAGTCACTGTTTTGTATAGGACTCGCATTCAATCAAAACCATAACCACACCAATTTCGTTGTTTCGGTGTTTTAGGTGATCTCAGGAGGGCAGAAACAGTAGACTGGTTGTGCCGTGCACTTGTGACACGAATATATGATCCGACAATTAACGGTGTTCAATATCGATGAAAACATTTACGCAAAAATAGCAGTCGATATCACTGCGAGTTCATGCCATTTTCATTGATTGGTTTAAGTTATTTAATTGATCTTGTTCCTCGTTCATCCATCTACCCCGCGAATGTATTAGAGATTATCCCGTGCACTTTCAAGTACATCTTCAAATATATCACACCTCCTTTTTCATCTCTGTCATGGTTACAATCTTGTGCGGCGAATGGTATTTAAATGCCTTAGTATTTCTGTGTCAAGCGAAACTCTTGCAGATCTTTCAACAACGGTTATCGGTTTGTTGGTAAACTGCTAGCACATTGCTGGCACAACTTTATTCGTTTCTTTAGGATCCATGAATAAAATGTTACTGTTTCATGAAGAAATCCATTTCGAAGCGTTGACCGCCTCTAAAACTATGCATCCACAGCTGGCTTTTTTACCAGTGAAACAGTATCTCGTCTTTTTCTTTCTTTCTTTTTGTTTTACATCACATTAAGCGAATTGCTGGCAAACTCACATTGTGTGCTGCGGTATGACTTATCTCTAAATACATATGAGCATGCAACTAAACATAGGTTGTTTTATTCTCTAACCAGTGAATAAAATTTCGATAAAGCTTAAACAGTTCTATCGTTCACCTATTTCTTCAGTATATTCTTCTTCGCATACTTCGGATGACATTCTCTCTCTCGCTCAGCGTGTATGCCATATAAGGAGACATGCCTAAGCCAGCAGGAAAAGACAGAAAAATACCGGGACTAAGTAAAACTACCTTAATCATGTGTGTATATGTGCGATTCTGAACTGAATGATCGACGGTCACCAATATTAAAAATAGCCATAAACGCAATTCCAAGCGATATAAGGTTGACAATGTCTTTTTTCTTTTGCATTCACTGGAGCTGGTGCTTTTTTTACTAATGCACAAAAGTTGCTAAATCGGAGGTCCTTTAGCCTACAAATTGTTCTACTTAATCGAGAGTTCAGAGTTCTCAGTTGGTTGAAATGTTTATTTAATAAATGGGATCACAAATACTCCAAAAACGTACGCTACATAGCATTTAGACCAAAATCCATACAAACACAAAGCGCACCATTTCGTCAAAATTCGTTTCTGCAATCTTCGATCCCAGACAATACAGGACAAGTCACGTGTCGATCGATCGGATCAGTTTTGAGAGATTTTTAATACAGTGTCGATTAGCATACATGAACGGGCACATAGCAGAGCAATGAAGTGATTTGAATATGTTGCCACTCGATCATCTCTGACAAATCACATAGTGATCAAGCTCATCTATATTTACCCGGTTCTTATGTTTTTCAAAAGGATCGTAACTGATTGGTTAGGAAGTTAGTGGAGACGCCAGTGGCCACACTTGTTCAAAACGTTTGAAATTTCCCCGTTCTTTTTATTTGTGCAGTCACGTCTAAAAACCTTAATCAGGACTTAGCTGATATGATTTAACATCTTTCGACCCATTTTGTAACTGAAATAAAAACTAAATGTGATGAAGCTGGGCGCAATGGAATGATGTACAACCTGCATGGTCAATCACGTGCATACCGCTCATGGTAATCACAAGAAAACGTTCCATCGATGTCTGCCAAATATATCGATTGTTTGGCACTGTGCAAATGACTGTTCCAGCTGATCACATTACTTATTCTACACGGCTCTCTGACCTCAGATTTGTCTAATGATGTAGTTCGTTTGAGAACTTAAGAAAGAGTTTATCGTCAACCGATGAATACCTTGCGTTAATGATTAAGTCAGTACAGACGAACAGGAACAATCCTCAATCCAATTGTCATGAACCGCTGATTTGTATCTATCATTTGGATTAAAATTCCGTACTCTAATTCCAAACTAATTATTTTAGTGCACGAATAACTGTTTGGCCGTCGATCAAGGATCAATCAAAGGAAATCTGACGTGTCGAATTGGAAGTCAACACGTGGATGAGAAATTGTGTGATTCTTCTGAGAAACCGGATATGACGTGTCCTAATCCGATTTGTCAAGTCAAATGGAATGTCAGTGCGTGGTCCCAAGTACGTTCGCACAACACCCTAGTCAATCACTTGGTAGTCTTCTGTGCTCTTATGATTGGACTATTTTTTCGTGACCTCGACAGTTAGGTAGTGGAGTGTACGATACCAAACACTCCACCCTATCAGGGATCTTTAGATACCACTGCAGAAATAGATAGGCGCGCAGATATGATATGACTTATTTCTCCGTGTCTGGTAAGAACCAAATAACTACACGAATACACCAGTGATGGCAAAATTACCTGGATATTATCAGGAAACTAACAGATTTACGTATATTTTGGAAAACTGTGTCAAACATTCCCGCAAATTAGGTTGATAACAGTTTGTCCAGTCTTTGGACAAAATAGGTTTTTTGTTTGATTCACGATGCCCATAAAATACCTATAGCATTTGGAGTGCGGGGACAATTTAAATGGGTTTACTGAGTGTTTTTGACTACGAGACTGTGATGTTTATGGTGGTGGAATACTTTTATCCATGAGTTATCTTTAATGTTTTCAGCTTTAGTTTGTTCAATTTATTGCGTATAATTGTCACACTCATATATCCGAGTTATTCTGAATACTCTTTTATTATAGACGATGGTTATCAACCCCAGCAGCGTTCACCTCTACAAATTAACTGAATTTAAACTTATTGGGGAAAATCTCTATTCTATCGATTGGCCCTTTCCCATGAAGAACAGAGTTGCAGTCCATAACTAGATCGGAATATGCTACTGCGAATATATTTGTGAATCAATACAAAAAATGATATCGATGCAACACAGTTTTACTCAGTTACTTCATTTTCCTTGCCGGAATTGACGCGTCACAGCGCTACTATGTATTGAGAGCATCTCCGCACAACAACTTTTCTATCTTTCCGTTATACAATAACCTAACCTTCAATTTGTAGGTCAGCTTAGAACGGAATCTATGAAGTTGGTAATTGATGTGCTTCAATCAACCGTCAATGTGATACGGTTCGTGATTCCAATTTATCACATTGTTGGTTTATGTGATTTGTATAGGTCTTTAAGAACACAGACGAATAAATCAATTCGCAGCATGCGAACGTTTTGACTGTGAATATCTGCACGCTATCCTAAATCTTTCAGTTCATTTAGGGTATGCGGAAGCGTTCAGACCAATGGGAAAAAAAGAATTGGTGCACGCAGAGAGGCCTTGTATGAGTGTATTGCTAGCGCAAGACAGTAACTACCTTTTTGCAGCACACAGAGGCCCTGATAAAGAGCAAAGTAACCACAAGCTATGAAGTCGATAATCTACTGGGAGGTAAAAACAAGCATGAGTTTACCACAAACAATACCGGTAACCAAACCACTTTATTTGTGCATGTGAAGTTGGAGAACAACCAATCTAACAAAATGAAAATCAAGTGATACCGTAATCAGTCAAAGCCGTCGATATGAGATGCACTTTGCTTTGCTTATTTCATATCAACTATCGTAAAAGAAATACACGTATGCAAATAAATGCCCGTTCGTTCGCCTTTTCGTTTGTTCATTTTAGTGTTCCCGGTCTTGTGGAGGTGTCGGCGTTCGAGCCCGACAACTTGTTTGCGTTTGGTCGCATAATGACAGACCAGCCGGTCCTTTGTGCTATGCTAATCAGATCCCCGTCCCAGAAGTGATCGAACAATGTGAGGCACCACCGTGTCAGCTGGGTATGTCTTCGCCCAAATAATTATCAGTTTCTAGTTCTTGGTCATTGTTGTTTCCATTTCTTTCAGCATTCCCAACCAGATTTAATTGCCTTTGCCATATTATCAGTAAGATAAATACCTTTTTAGATATGCTTTCAACGATCCGTATTGTATGCGATTTGTGTAAATTCTAATTACTGAACTCAGCATTTCATGTTTCCTATGAGTAGCCCAATTTCAATGTAAGGATATGATTTGCAAAAAGCACCAAAGCTGTTTGAAACCCCTCATTTATAAACTGCAGTGATTGGTGTTTTCTCCAATGATTAACTTATTCACAATTTTCGAATGTGCTGCTTATTGGGTTTATCTTTGGCAAATATCACATAAATGGAATGGTCGCACACTTAAATTGGTCAACCAAAAGCAAAACACTCTGAGGTAATGCGACCTCTCTGCTCCGAATCGGAAGCCATCCGTCGAACCCAAAACTGTTCAAGATCAGACAAAATCCCTGTTGATGGAATCTATCTATCCCATGCTCCAATCTAGGCTGAATTTTACGGTCCCGTTCCCCATCAGCTTATCCTACTTATTCACGTTGATAGACTTAGTCTTTAAATTGTCTCAAATAACGTTTGCTCAAATGTTCCTCAAAACATCAAAAGTAGACATTATTCAGTATTCACAGTTTCGTACTTGTGACTGACCCGCCAACAGAACGTTTTTCAACAACATTAAATCCCGTGAACAAAATGTTCAGTGACTTTCGGAAATTGGAATATACTCACTTTAGTGTTTGAAGTGAAAAAGGTAATGTTAAAATGAATGATTTTTTTATGAAAGAAGTTTCGAACAATCGGGTTCCATTATTGGACCACATTAACTCAATCATTTCTCACATTCTTCCACATTTACTTCTTTTCATTCAATACATAATGATAGAGTTTTCAGGAACGAAGAAACTGCCAATCAAAGAGCTGCCATATAACACACAACGAGGAATGTCAGAAATAAACCTTTAAAGTAAAATCAGTTGAACTTTGACTAGTTTGTCAGAGGCCACAAACGCTGGCCGAAGGAGGGAACTGCTAACCAACATAACCACTAATCCCCGATCTCTTTACTAACTGTATCTCACTTTCGGTTTTGACCCGTTAGTTTTCCATAATGGACGTGCTTTGGACATTTCATTATCACCTGGGGCAATCATTTTCCATTATTTAAAATGGCCATTTTTCAGACGCCACCTTTAATCTCAGTTCCATTTCATTCAATCAACCGTTCATTTGGAAAACCCCAGATTTTAGTTTCCTTCTCATTGCACTTCACTGGTAATGCATAACCACCGTCCTGCCCGAGCTTCGAGCTCACATGGAGGGCTTGTGTGTCACTACTGTGGCAGACAACTTACATCTTAGTTCACCAGAATTAAAAGTTTGTATTTGTTCCACCGTTGTCCTAAAGAGATCCTCGGTCATTTCATCTTGGCCGAACAGCGAAGAAAGAAAACAGTAAACCATCTGTAGGGCTCTAAAGCGAGCACAAATCGAGTCTAGTACATCCGGAATGTACTGTCAACCGGATAAACTGAGGAATGTGTGAAAATGAATTTTGAAACTTAATCATATCGAATCAGTAACATCAACCCTACGTCCCTACTCACAAATCACTGTGAAGTGAACGCATATTCTTCTTTGGTTAATGGACCACTGTATACTGGTACGTACTTGGATCAACCAGCATCACTATAGTGTGTGCAGTTTCTCTAGAAGGACTCTCCCTGAAATAAAGATTAAAGGAATATTTACCTGAATTGAAGGCTGAAATACAAATCCTTTGGCAAAAGTGATCAAAAAGCTATTTGTCACATTCTTGTGCGATTTCGAAGAAAAGCCGTGGTACTCAAAGTTTTGGACTCATCCGTTTATACTACCTGCAAGGCATATCAATAGCCAGATGATAAACACGAAAAAAGTTGAAACAAATCGTCAGAGCTTCCCGTTTTTCGGCCCATTTAGAACAGTCATTGATCATGTTTGATTGCACAAATTGATATTTGGANTGGATGGTTATCTCGTATGACCTCTTCAGCTGCAGAGTAAAACGTTTGAGAAACGAGAATATCAATTTCCTGGATATTGAGATTACCAATTTTCATACTAAACACTATGATCTAAAGAAATAAACTGTGAAATCACATAGGCATTATTGCATTGTAGTAAACGAAGAAGAATTGGCTCTAAGAAGAAATAATATAAGCCGCTTTATTACTGAACTTTTCGCGAAAGGAGTACTTTCATTGTTCACTTTCAAAGCCATCATTATTCGTCTTTCGATTTTGAACCTTTTTTCCAGAATGCGTCGACTTCTCTAAACACTGTCCAAAACGCGTGGAGCTATGCAAGTTCACTCTGTATCGTTATCAATGCTGTGCATCTTGCCGAGATTTTGCATTCACCCAGAACGACGTTCAGTGAGCGAAAGTCGTAATTCCCTCAGGAGCATCATGGACGTGATCGTACAATCCAGAAAACGAACAAGATACTCCAGACAACACTGAGATCTTTAATCTGCGCTCCATTTCTTTCTTTACTACCTTCTGTTTCTCCCATCTGCCCAGAAGGGTAACACATGTGTCACACTCATCGTTGCTGGGCCGGCCTATTCAGTAATTTGCTTATGCATATATATAAATATATTTATACATATATTTATTATTTATCCGGACACCGGTGCCAACACGTTTGCCAAAATTCATCGCAGCCGAGATCGTCCGTTTACTGTATCAGCTATTTCTCTCTCACACACAAACCGATCTCTCTTTCTCTCGAGTGCCCGCTCTCTCTCTCCTTCTGCCCGACTGATTCGTTTTCTCCGAGTTTCCTGTCTGTACGTGAACTAGTAAGAATGCCTTCAAGTTCATTCAAACTAACCCCGACTCTATTATGTCTGATCTGTCATGGAACAATACATGTACATATTTCGATAGATCTACATACACATCAACAAGGCCATTCATCTACACACCTCCACACATTTATTTGCATGTAAACTTTGCTCCAATATCACGTTTGAACCAGAAGTTTAACCGGGAAAATGTCATTCACATTCTGTCACACTTTTATTGGCTTGATTTCATAGAAACAGAGAAACCAGTAAAAAAAAATACTAACACACACAAATAACTACCATCACACTTATTAACTCAACCACTCACACGCAAACCGATCTGGACAAACGTGTGTAAAGAGAATTCTGCTATAGACATTTGGCATCACAAGATCAGAATTACTGTTTCCTGAACAGTATTTGTCTCATACTCTGCTTTATTTCGTTTGCATTTCCACAATTTTACATGCTCTCGCAGACTTGTTGTCAACCGCATTTTAGGATCTTTTCATCTGGTCACCCCAACACACTGACCGACGAACATATTCATTGATACACAAATCTACCTATTGGGTCACGTTTGTTATATTCATTGAGTATCACCTTACGTTCATAAAATGACAGATTTCAAGGGCTTGGGCAAAGTATCCCATACCCCCATTCTACCCAATACCGAAAGAGCAAATGTCTAGCGGCAATCCAATGAAATCAACTTCATGCCGAAGTGTCAATGCCTGAATGGGGAATGCAGATGCAGACCGCCCGTCATTCAAGACGCAGGACAATCATCATCGGACACCTTTTTGAAGCGGTCAATCACGCTATCAATCCAAACTGGAGCTGAAAACATGAAGATTACTGGACCCAACAGATGACCCCAAAGTAATCATAACCCAAACCGTCTAGGCTCATGTGCGAGCACACATTTACGCATGCACACAACCAAACAAGGAGAAATCACAAGACAGAGGAACGGAGAGCAAGAAGGTGAAAATCTGCACGTGGCGATAAACGAGAGTAGGAGAGAAAGAGAGAAATAANAAATAAAAACAGCACCACTTCGATTATCTGTGATTCGAAGAGACCGTAACTCAGCTGATCCAGTCATGCATCTGATTGGCCGCTGGTATTTGATCCGAAATTGGGTTTTCTTGTTTTGTTTTTTTCATTGAATGTTTGCGGTCGACTGGTGCCGGCGTGTTTGCAAAGAAGACTAACAACTGAGAAATGAAAATTGAACATTAAATGAACTGACAAGAAATATTCAAAGAAAAGAGAAATAATTTGACCGTTTTTTGTCATTTATCGTTTGAGCATTCACGTCTGATAGATGACACATACAAAAACAGATGCAAATATACAGCCCCATGCAAACAAACACACACATACACACAACTATATATATCTTACTATTGTTTTTTCTGTTTGCGGTTGATCATCCCAATTACTAACGCGCATTTCTTGAATGCGTGTGTCCGACGATGCATTTCCCCTCGTTTCAATGTTTTTGTTGTAAAAAAGCAATACCAGCAGCAAAATAAATCAGAACAATAAAAATATCAGTAACAACAATAGTATTAAATAATCAAAACAAGAAGGGACAAGAAACCTTGGATTTGATTGACCAATTTGTATAAGAATGGTGTCAGTTTGCCTAAACATCTAGCAAGGTTAATCTGATTTGATGACATTTGATGAATATAAACGCATAATACGAATGGTAGGCATTTAATTAGCCACTTTTGTAGTGACGTGTAAAATTCATCTCATGGTGGTTTATAGTAATTGCCATAAGAGCACATCTCAAATTTTCTTCCGTGCATAACTGAAAAATTACATATTTCTAGCTCCATGGATAATGCAAAGTTGAATATTGTATGGCATATAATGTTCTCGGAGTTGTCTGCACCAACTCTGAGAAATGTTCGACCGGACAAATGACGTGAAAGCCCAAGCAACTTAATAGGTGAAAAAAGATTTCCTTTCCGTACAACCGGTTGTGTATACATTCATCCGCCTGTTCCTATTGATCGTCTAATAATATGTTGCAGTTTTGCTTAATTCCGATTCATTCGTATCGCCCGTGAATCCTTTTACCTCGTCATTGAATTATCCACGTATCCTCTACCGTAACTGTGTTATTGGGAAC